ATTTCAAAATGAACATGTTATTTACTATGTTCATCAAAAGCCATTGGTTTTAAATATATAGAAGAGCAAAGAACATTTCTTATAGTTTTTTTATATAAATTAATATATCTTGAGATGCTCTGATTATATTTCTATGAAATAAAGATAGGCAGATGCTGTAAATATTCATCTACCTAATTAAGTGAAAATGATTACATAACCATTTTTTTATTATTTGTTAAATACAAAAACTGCAGTGTAACTTAACTCGTTTTTGGAGTAACTAATTGTAACATCTACCGGGGCAAGTAGTAACGACAAAAAACGATAATAATACCTGTTACTACTTACCCCTGTTACAATAAGCATCTATCTCTTCTACTTCTATCGATAAGATAAAACTATGAAAAGTCTTTGTAGATAAACAATTACATGAATAAGATTTTTTAAATTTAATTAATTATTGCGCATTCTTCCATTGATAGTTATGAATAAAAACAACTAAAATTTGTAGAACCTACAAGCACATCAGCTTAACCATACTTTCCAAAATTTGCAGACCTTATCACAAAAGTACTCCGGTAACTTTATGCTAACAGAATTGACGGATTAATGTTAAAATGATTTTTTTATCTAATACAACATCTAATCAATATAAATACCCATATTCACAGATATATATATATATATATATATATATATATATATATATTACCTATAAATATACAAAATATACCGGTTCGCGCAATCGTATATATAAATTATACTACACAATCGCTTCGTCACGTGTTGTCTAGAATGATAATTGTTTAAAAAAGATGAACATCAGAATTTAACTTCCATTGCCCTCGAACGTAATTCATGTAATAAATCCGGAATGAGTTATAAAAATGAATAAAAACATAAACATTTGAATATTTTTCAATTCCATGGAGTATTGCAACATAAAAACTGGTTCTTAGTAGGTGTATCCGGTAATATATAAATGTTATAAAATGACAATTAGCAACAATTTGTCATTTGTGTGATTTATGCTTATATATTGTTCTAACACACACACATAAATATAAATATATATATATATATCTATATATATATATATATATATATATATGTGTGTGTGTGTTTGTGTGCTAGATTTAAAGGTCCGCGGGTAAAAATGTCCGCCATCGATATCTCAAAAACAAGTAAAGTTAGGAATTTTATATATATATATATATATATATATATATATATATGCTTAAACCACTTCAGCTGAAAAAATTATACTAAAAATCATAATGTATATATACGTATGTTTTTTAACTTTTATTATTGAGAGTGGTTCGTAGCCTTGCAACACAAGATACCGAGTTCAGATCCTGCGATGCATAAAACATGCTATCAAGCAGTGATATCTATTTTCATTCTAATATGTTTTTCAAATGATTTTAATCATTTGAAATTACTGCCGAAAACCGTAAAGTCAAAAATACAAATTTGATTTTTGTAAAAATATAATATATACATATATAATATAATATATATATATATATATATATATATATATATATATCATTGATTTTTTTTTAACCTAATTTATGTATTGGATTAGGAATTCACCGCCTGCAACCCATAGATCTTTGTGAGATATTTAAATGCCATTTTATACATATTAATGAAAACTTGAAAATGCTTATGTCACTTCTTAATCATGATAAAATATTATAATTAAGAAAAGAATAATTTAAAATATATGCTCTTATATTGATTTAACTTATGGGGCATGGCATCTATTCAAGTGATAAATTTGAAACCTTTCAGATTTGTAAAAATAAAATAGAGAATAAGCGAATTCGATTTTCGGTTTTAAAATATTAATCTTCTGAATATTTATTAGCAAAGCTTAATTCTCGGAAATTGAATTTTCGTTTTATTTTTATTTTAAAAAATTTAGGTTTCTTTAAAAAACATAAAATTCGGACAAACATATAATACAGATTAACGAAATGTTTTAAAATCAATTTATAATATTTTATAAATTATAAAAAAAATTTCAGTTTATTTTTTTTAATAAATTTCAACCGTTATACATGTATTTATTGTCTGGAACTATAAAAAATGATTAATAGCAGATTTAGATTTAAAATTCCAAATCATGTATTTCATTAAATAGGTTAAATTAAATAAATAATTAAAAAATATGAGTTTATTACCCAAGGGTATTATAAGAATGTTTATAAATATAGTTATACTTAAAAAAAGGTTTGTTTAATAATTATATTTATTGTTTACGTTAATAAAATGCGACAAAAATTAAAATCGTATTAATTAAACTATTTTTGAGATTTCGTAGAACAGAAATCATAAATGTAATGCAGCCTTGTTTTTTGAGTAAAGTGAGCAAAATCCGTAAAAAGTAATAATAATTTTTAGATATGAATATTTGAGAAATTTTTAACTCCTTCATACATTTGAACATTGAATAT